AGCGCATACTGAACAAGAGGGAAAAATCATTATCAGATTCTCCACATATGCCAAAGCCTTCTTGCACTACACTTGTTGTTTTCTCGAATAGGTTGATCTCGGAAGCACTTGATTTTGATCCTTTTGAAGAGAAAAAATTATTTGAAAAGTACTTTTCTAGATTGAACAATGAACAGTTGTACATTTACAATACTATTCTACGGTTTTACCACGAAAGAAAGGAAGACTTTTTTTCGTCAATGGGAGTGGGGGCACTATAAAAACATACTTGTGGAGAACATTAATTGCAAAATTTAGATCCGAAAGAAAAATTGTGTTAGCAGTGGCGTCTTTTGGAATTGCTTCGTTACTCTTTCCCGATGGTCGAACAGCACACTCCCGTTTTAAAATCCCTATTGATCTACATGAGAAATCAACATGTCCAATAAATGTCAACTCTGAATTAGGGTAACTAATCCGAGAGACATATATTGTTATATGGGATGAAACTCTAATGATGCATTGATACGCTGTTGAGGCGGTTAGTGAGACTTTAAGGATCTGTTGAAAGGGACGGAAAATTACTTTAGTGACTTACCATTTGAGGGGAAATTATGTATTTTAGGTGGAGATTTAAAGCAAATTCTTCCGGTAGTCACAAGAGCCACGCGAGAGTTAATTGTTGAAGCATCTTTACACAAATCTTATTTATGGGGAATGTGTACTGTAATGTATCTTCATACAAGTATGCGGTTATTTGGATGTAATACCGCATCACACACACTTCATCAGATACACGATTTCGCTAATTCGATCAATAGTTTAGGAGAAGGAAACACACCTTACCAAAATTTTGATGATGTTGGCGAATCAAGTTGGATAGAAATACCAGATAGATTTATTACTCCGAATATGGAGAATTCTCTATCCATGTTGATTAATCAAACATATCCAGAGTTGAAGGTGATGTATAAAGATCCTTTATTTTTCCAAGAAAGAGCAATTTTGACGCCGAAAAATAAAGATGTCGATGAAATAAATACAATGATGCTTTCAATGGTTCCCGGAGATATTCAAGAGTACTATTCATCTTATTCTTTGTGTGTTATCGGATCAACTGATACAGAACATTACTTATATCCCCAAGATATTATAAATTATTTCAAAGTTTCTGGTATACCAAATCATATTCTGAAACTTAAAGTAGGAGCACCGATTATCCTACTAAGGAATTTAACCAGTAATTGGGATTATGCGATGACACACGATTAACTGTTGAAAAGCTTGGTTCAAAGATACTTGAAGCTTGAATAATTACATGATAACATGTCTGTCAACATGTATTTATACCACGGATTTTATTTACTACAACAGAGACTCAAACATTCATCCTAATAAAAAGAAGGAAAATTCCAATTAAATTAGCCTTTGCAATGATAATCAATAAGAGCCCGGACATCCTATATTTAGTCATGGACAATTATATGTGGCATTATCTTGACTATCAGACCCTTCAAGATTAAAGATTCTTATCTGTAATAAATTAACTATACCGTGGAATTATACAAACAATATTGTATACCATGAGGTGTTAGATGCAATAAAATAACGATTTTCATATATATTTCTTAATAACATACATATTCTCTCATATTATGTATTAATTATTGTTTATACTATTTCATAATTAAATTTAAATTTCATATTGATTCAATTGTACAGGAACATCAACTACTATATACAAAAAGTTGGATTCACTAACGCCCACCGGTGAACACTATAACAATGAAGTAGGGTTGATAAGAATTATTAAGTTCACAGGTTTAACTTACAAAACTAAAAAAATTAGACTGATTGATGTCGACATCAAGGTATACGATTCAAACATTATTATCAAATTCAACATTATTTATCAAATTAATTAAATAACAACATTAACTGTTTTTTTTCCTCTATTTTTATTAGGGATTTTATATGGAATGAGTTATATTTAACGCTGATAACGCGACTTTTGCCACAACCCTTGATGAAGGAAGTTTATATAGAATATATAATGCAAAAGTTATAATGGCTCCACAAACTTATAAGTTTCTTTCGTATTCATATAGATTATTGTTAGGGAAAAATACAATATTAGAACAAATAAACACTCCGGATAACAAGTACCCTCACAATTTCTTCAATTTATTGAGTCTTTCAAATCTAAGTCGACATGCAGATGATCTGGCAAAATTATTTGGTATGAATTTCTATTTTTTAAATAAAATTATACTTTTATTTTTTAAACTTTTCTCTAATACATGAAATAATGTAGATGTATCAAATAGCAATGTTGGAAGGAAAAGTATTCTTTCAAGGACTTCAACATAACAATGTCACTGCAACATGTCGAGTCATTGTAAAAGACTTATTTATTATTATTATTATTATTATATTTTAATTATTTCTTATTTTACAGCTTTCCTTCTTGAAACCGGCCGCTTCACGAAAATATACACTAATTACAAACATGAAATAACAAATACATTACTTTGTTGGTAAGTATTATTGTTGTTTTATTTATTTATTTATTGTTATTATTATTATTAATCTTTTTTGTCTTTTTTTCTAGGTACAATAATGATAAAAAAATCACAAAAATTAATATAATTTATGCGGTACAAATTCATTGCCTATTTCAAAATTACTTCAAATATCAAATTACTTCAAGTATCAAATGCAAAAAAAATTTGCATACGTGACTTTAGACATTAACAAGGGGTAAGTTTTATATACTAGATTTTTACAATACATTTTCTCAACTTATAATTTTAAAATTTTTATTTCTTATATGAAAATCAAGTTTTTCCATATTGTTCGAGGCATTGAGCATATCGATGTTCAAAATCTGTGAACTGCAACATGTAACAATTGCAGAAATTTATGTGAAGTTCACCTCACAAAAATTGTATGCATGTATTGCAACGATACAATAGAAGCAAATTGAAGGTAAAATGTCATTTCTCTGTATATAAAAATACAACGTAATAATTCAACTATATCTTATTTATATTTCATATACAATTTTTTATGTAGATACGGTGTTAATTTGATGATAAAAGATGGTACCAGAAGTATGAATTTAAATTTGCAACACAAACAATCTCAATTCATTTCTCGTTGTCAACCATCCTACTTCAAAGTATGGTATGTTTTACATGTATAAATATACATATATTTTTTTATTGTTAATTATTTTAGCATACTAATATTTCTTTCACATATATGACAGAAAAATAGTACATCATTAATACGAGAGTTTATTGACACTTTTACAGATCATACTTTTATATTTATAGTACCAACTCTACTTTCATGGACACGACCAAAAAATCGTCACATAGTAAATTTTGTACCAATTGTTGATTGGTCCGAAGAATATTTGTTTTTTCATACCAGATATTTAACAATATGATAAATTATTTATCTAATATTATTGCAATAAATTGTATAAGTTGTGCAACCCACGGTCAACGCACTAGTTTTAAATATAAAATTAAAAGACGCAAATTGAGGTGAAAAATACCGTTCGTGCTACCAAATGATTAATATGAAACTACGTCTGACCAAAGATGTTTATATGCACACGGATGCTTAGGTGTGGTCACACCGAACTTTGACCACAAAAACAATAAAGGACCCCACCTTAGGTGTGGTCACACAAACCTTCTAAAGGAAAAACAAATAAAGAAAGTTACCTTAGTCGTGACAATACATACTTTTTAAATTAAAAAAAGGAGAATATGTTCATTTAAGTATTATCACATTAATCTAAGACTATTTCCAACCCAATTTTGAAAAAATTTGTAAAGTGAGTTACTTCAACTCACCTTCTATTTACACAATCGATGATAAGACAAAATTTCTTTCATCCGAAATGGCACTCTATCTGATGAGAGGTTGATTTTTTTTTTTTTTAAATTAAAAGTTAATAAAAATTATTTAAATATTATTTTTTTAACTTAGTTATTTTTTAAATTTTTATTTTATTATTTATAAAATAAAATATTTTTTATATTTATATTTTAATTTTATAATTAATATAAAATTTTTATTGTATTTATTATATTTAATTAAATGATATTATATAATATTTATATATATATTGCATAAATATTATTAATAAAATTAAAATTTTAATTTATTTAATTTAAAAAATATTTATTACTTTGTATAATTAAATAACAAAAATTATAAATTTAATTTATAGATATAATATTTAAAATATTTTTATAAACTAAACATATAAAAATAAATAATATTTGGTATTATTTATAAATTTAAAAAATTATAAAAATAATATATAAAATAGAATATAGATAAAGATTTTTTTAGGGTGTGTTTCTTCAACTCCAAAATTGGGGTTGTCCACCGTCCGGCCGGCAACCTGTAACTTTTATCAATAAAATTATAATCTAAATTCACAATTAAATGATACAAATAACCCCACGGTCACAAGTCCAATCCCTACACCACTAAGTCATCCCTTACGGGACCTTAAATAAACACCCTTGATAATACAATATATGATTGAAGTTGAGTTATTGTCCGCTGTTTAAAAAGTTAGAAAAAAAATTAGAAATGTACTATATGTTATGTAATAATAATAATATAATGTTGGTAAGTATACATAATATATGTATATGTGTGTACGGATGTGTGTTTATATGTATATAAATATATATGTATAAATAATTATTATAATTTTATTATGTTGTATGTATGTAGAAGTAGACAATTAATGCAGAGAAATAAGAAAAATGATTGTCAATTGCATTTTCATCACCTAAGGCATATATATATATAGATGCGTGAATCCGTAAATAAATGATTGTAAAAACATCCACGTTCTATGGATTTAGGTGCCTATAGATCTTGGAAAATAGATTCATTAGCTGAATATGTATGGACAATTCAAGGAATATCAATGAAAGAAGGGGCAAATTTGTCTTTGTGCAGCAATTAAAAAAAACAAGAAAAAACTAATTTCTAAATTAATTAGTGATATCAATCTCGCCTCCCTCAGCGCGCACGCAGCCGCAACGCCTGCTCGCCGTCGATCGCCGCGCACCACCAGCCGCCGCCCTCCAGCCTCGCCGTCGCCCAGCCAGAGTCCGACCACCCCCGCCGAGCTCGACCGCCGCTGCTCAAGCCTGCCCGCATCCAGTCGCCTGCACCAGACCTCGCCCAGCGTTCGACCTCCGACCGGCGTCTTCCTCTCCGTCAGACTCGCCGACGCACTACCCGCACCGCCGCCGACCAGCGTCCAGCCTCCTCCTCCGATTTTCATCGGTTTGGTTATTCTTTCCCTTCATCCTTGGATTGGGTACTATCTCTTCTTCCCTGTTTACCGATGCTTTCAATTTTTGGGATGAATTGTTCGGTTTGTTATTTATTATATTATATTAAAATTTAAGAATCTTACGAGTAAACAAACTTTCTGGTTGAAATCTAATTTATTGAATTTCCAAGGTTGCGAGTGCTTTCTGTGAATCTGTGACTGCTGTTTCTCCACTCCTTTTGTTCTAATGCTTTCAATTTAGGTATGCTTTTCATTGGGTTAGTCGATTTGAATTCAAAATGCAGTGTTACCGTCCAGTTGCTAGATGATTCTGATGCAAAGTCTATTTTTGGCTACGTATCAATCGACGCACAGTTTCTCAACTTTGGAATTGAAAATTAAGTTTTCTGTGCTATCAGATCTTGGACATAAACAAGAAAAAAATTCAGATTTTAAATAATAGAAAACAACCAAAAATAAAATAAATCAATTAAAATTCTCCGCCAGCAGTGCCAAAATTTGAGTGTCTTCGTCCCATGTTGCGAAATTAAATAAACTAAACCTACTTCAGCTGTACTACATTCTTTTTTTTATTGTGAAAGTAGATTTATTTTATCTAGCTTTGCAGCCTGTGACAAACCCTGTCATTTGTGGTGAGTTGTTATTGAAGGTAGAAGTATTAGGGAAGGTGGGAATGTTATTGAAGTGGAAATATTATTGAAGTATTGGTAGTCAATGGTGATGGAAAGATTTTGTGCCGAATTGTATTCTATGTACTAGCATCGAGCTCTTAAATTGTTCTTTTATGACATTTATTTTAGCCTTTATTTATCCTTTTTTTCCTCCCCATAGGCCCTAGCCATTTGCCCGCTACAATCTATATTAAAATTTCTTTTGATTCTTTTTGTTGGATTCAAATATCTTAAACAAGAAAGGTTTGATTTTTACTCAAGCCTATGGATAATCTTTTGTTACATTACTTGAGCATTAAACTAAATATATGTTTATTTCTTATAGAGAGTACATGTGCATACACTTTACCTTGTGAGGTTAACTTGGCTTGATATGTTAAATTTTCGATTGACTTGGTTGTGTTGGATTACCCTATTCATTTTGAATCTTCTTCAATTTATTTTGGTTGTGCGTATATTATCTCTAGTTTTGCTTCTTGGGTTGACTTATGATTCATTACATTAAAGTTAGTGCTTTCCAGATTGTTATTGTCTTCCTGACGCTTGAGGAATGAAGATTTTGCTATGATATTTACTTGATTTTGCTCTAAATCTGCCAGTTGTTCTACGTGCCATCAAATGTTTCATTGTAATATAAGATATAGAAATAAATTTTATGGGATATTTTCATCTTAATGTCTCCTCTTTTACCTTCAAATCTATAAAATTTAGGAGCACATTTTACATAACCAAGAGTTGTTTTGGGCAAAAAAAAGAAGAATTCAAATGCCCGATGTTGGAGGTCTGTTCTGTAATCTTGTACACATTCTGAATGATATTTGAATTGGCATTATATAAGAATTTTCCACATTATATATTTGATTACAACTCTTACAGATCTGAATATGTTTCCTTTCTAAGATGATCTTTTGATTCCCTGTTTTCTGAGCTATGCTATCTAGATATTCTACACATGACCAATCATCTTGAATAATTGAATAAAGAGAATGATCCACTCTTAATTTCCTGATGGCAATAGCAATTATGAAAAAAAAGAAAAAAAAAGAGAGTTATGTAGGAATTGAGGTACCAATCTATAATCAGTATTCAAAACAATGAAGAAATGTAGCTTATAAGAGCTAATTATATGATCTGGTGTCATGAAAATGAACATGACTGAGGCAGCTAGCATACTTTATAGTTTTTAGTCCGTATCTGGCATTGGCCTTTTATCCGCATTTCTAATAAGAAAAACTTGGCATACAGTTTAATACTCCCTCCGTCCAATTTCTATTGTCCTAAAGTATATTTGCACGGTTTTTTAGGTGATTGTCTTTTTATTATGAATTGACAAATTTACCTTTAGTTGTATGGTAGATATTAAAAGTAATAAATGAATGAAGGGTAAAAATATAAAATTTGTGTTTAAAAAAAAAAAATAGGACAATAGTTGTTGGACGTCCCAAATAGGAAAGTAGGACATTAGTTTGTGGACGGATGGAGTATTATTTTTCTGATGGTATCAAGATATTTCGCTGATATTTATTTCTAAGATACGGTATATCTATTATTACAAAACATATCTTTTCAAACTTAATTGTTTTTCCTAACATTCCTTTGGTGGCCTTTTTTCCTGAAGCTGCGTTTGAGTTTTTATGTGAATATGGCAACATGTATCTGTTTCCCGATTTATTCTTATGTTTAGTGCTCCAAAGCTGATGATTTAATGTGTGAAATATTCTGATTATGTTTCAGATGGAAAGGATACCAAAATGTGTTTTTAGTTTATCATTTGATTTCTTGTTGGCTGTTGCATTCATTGACGAAAAGATTTTATTTCTGGCTCAGTTATTGCAGCATGATTAAAAAAAAGGTTTTTAATTTATGAATAAATGAGAACTTTCAGCAAGCAATGGACCTGAAGCCTTTCAAGTTAGACATTGATGAGCTCATCAATGAGTTTTCGGAGGTATTATCTGACACAAAACCATTCTCAATCACATCTTTTGATGTGATAATGATACTTGCTTTTGCTCCTTTTAATATATTCTCTTAGTTATCTTTTGTTTTGAATCATAGAGTGGATCAACTTCTTTGGCGGAATTCAAAAAAGTGTGGCTTTCTAAAAAGTTCTCTTTTATATTTGAGGCTGGCCCTTTATCTAATCAAGGTTTCTTTATGCAATCACTTTATGCTCATTGCATTGGTAAGTTCTCTAAATACTTTGTTGTTTGCTCGTTACTTTAAGAGTTTTTTTATGTACCTCTGCATGTTACTCTTAAGCTGTTAGTTGTCTATGCTCTATCCATGGCATTTAGCGGCATGCCATTGCGAATGTTGTTTTGTGCTATGAAGCACTGACCTAGAGCTAAAATTCATGCTATTTTTGCAAGGGATATCAATGTAGAATACCCTATCTTTCAATTTGTTTTCTTTTCATTTCCTGCGATGTTTGTCTCCAAATTTAGGTAACTTTTTATATAATAATTAATCAATTATATTTTGTAGCAGTATATATTGAAATAGTGATTATACGTGCCTTGATTTAACTTCTTGCTAAGAATTTACAAATTATTTATATATAATTTTGCACTTGGATCAAATATGGCAGACCTCATGTCATTTGGTTCTAAGGGCTTGAGGATGTGGTCAACTTATGTGTTTGTCCAAATGGTTGTGATTCTTGTTTTAATGTATTCTGTTTTCCAAACTAATAACAATTGAAAAATAAGAAGAGATTCCAGAGTAGAAGAAAGGAAGAAATTAAAAGAAGATACCGTTTCTTTTTTTTGTTTTTGATCGGAAGAAGATACCATTTCTTGGTTCTACGTAGATTTGCTTTTGTCGCAGATGAGTCATAGTGTTTGGTAGAGTGAAATTTTATGGTTTCCTTGTGCTTGATTGCAAGCATGTTTGTTTCCTTAGGTTACAAATTTTAGTCCAGAAATTATGGAACATACATGCTATCATTCCAAGTTATCCACTTCCCTGTCGTCTAATTAAATGCTGTTTTTTCAAAATTCAAACTAGCTCCTGCAGAACACTTAACAGTTTCTAGTCTCATGTTTAAATTTAATTTGAGTTGAAATCTGTAAATTGTATTTCAATTTTTAGTTGGTATAGGTGCTAGTCATGTCGATATTGTTCACAATCTTGTTTTATCTATACTTGAATAACGGCTCTAGTTTTATTTTAGGTTACATGGTTTCAGCTCGTACTCTGGCAAACAGAGTGGGTGGACTTTATTGCTTGCACTGTCTATATGAGACTCAACCATATAAGCCACCTTACAAAATATATCTATCTCATGGTGGGTATTTAGTTTTCTTTCTATTGACTTATTATCATGCTTCTTTTATCTTAAAATACGATGTTGGATTCTAGTATGTGTACCAGATCATACAATGGTGTGCATGTGTGCATCAATGTGGTTTGCGGATTTTATGCATGCAGTTATTTTATATGGGCTGGTATTTATTGGAAACATTAATAAAAATAAGAATATATGCAAGCATGTTTGTGAAAATTAATGTATACTTAGATTTATTATTATTATTTTGAGAAGATTTATACGATAATTATGTTACTTCATCGATTTAATTATTTGCTAATCACATAGTGATGGAGTTTATTTTACTCCGACACATTTAGAGCCATTTGTTGAATAAGTTAAAAACTATTTTCTGAATAGACTTAATTCAATTGAGTACTTAATCACTAAGTAATTTATAGCCCTACCAAACGATGACATAGTTTTATGATTTTCTAGATTGTAATAGTATCTTCATCTTCCTTCTACTTGATATCATGGACCACCACAATTTTTGGGATATTCAACCATATTTTTCTGCGTTCATATATTGTAACTATGTTTTCACAATAGATGTGAGTGTTGAAGAAACTCAGAGATTTAGGCTCCGTTCTTGAAAAGTAACAAGTAGCTTAATTTTTAGATTTATTGCATCTTTTTTCCCTATTGAAATAGACTTTAGACGGGGGACATCAGACATGGCCATATCCAGTCTACTTTTGTATCATGTGATGATTTGTGCTTGAAATTTGTTGCATTCTGTTTATGAGATGAGTTTGAGCATCGCACCATAAATAATGTATTCTTGAGAAGTAACAAAATAATTATATGCCTGCAGTAGAACTGAGGGAGATTAAGTGCCTGGTTGCTGATGCAAAGGCAGCCGATGTGAAAATAGTTTCTGCTTTAGTGAAGAATATGCTAGATAGGAATGCATTTCTTTTTGGTTTTGTTGGCGTGAATGAAGGTTCTACAACAGAGAGAGTTGACGAGCTCAGAGAAATACAGAATGCCCGTGTCCAAGCAGCATATAAAAAGTAAGTCAAACTCATATTTTTTTGTGAAAGGCTCTATTTTCTTATGTTTTCGACTTTGTTTTTGCATTATTCATAACAAAAATTACTTATAAAAAACATCATATCCAACACTTATTTTATATTTAAATATTACATCAAAAATTTATTTCTATTTTAAACATCACGTTACACTTATTTTTCATTTTATTTCTTTGGCTAAATTGCACAAAATCTACATGTGGTTTCATGAAATTGCGCCAAATCCCCTATATTTCTAAAATTGCGTCAAACTCCTTAGTTGTTTCATAAACTCTGTGTCTAATCCCATTTGCGATCCTTATTTTACGGTATTTGACCTAAATGCGCCCAAACTGTGAATAAATTTTAGAATTTCAATTTCTAAACCCCTAACATTAAAAATATATTCATTTTTCTTAAACCGTTAAATAAATTAGAAATTAAGATTTTAGAATATATTCGCAGTTTGACGCATTTAGGTCAAATACCGTTAAATAAGGACCGCCGAAGAGATTAGACGCAAAGTTTATGAAACTACGAGAGAGTTTGAAGCAGTCTTAGAAGTATGAGGATTTGACGCAATTTCGTAAAATTACAGGTGTATTTTGTGCAATTTAGCTTATTTCTTTACTATTTCCAAAGCAATCAAAAACACCAAAACACTACAAAAAGCATAACCTAGCAAATCTTTAGCTTTTGCAAAATTTTCTGATATGTGTATATCATGATAATCTTTTATTTTATTTTACTGCACAGGTTATTTGCTGATTCTCGGCTAGAGCATTTCATCCATATGGACATGGTACGTTTAATATTTTTCTGAAAATTATGTGGACGAAGTAGTGATAGAATCTTCTAAAATTTATGGCAAGTAGTCTGTGTTCTAGCTTCTAAGCATTCTGTAAAACTTTTTTTGAGTAATGTGCCAACCCGGGCATTTCTCAATAGCAATATCTCAAGGACATGATGGTACCACTTGGATGTGGCTGATGCTCGATTTTGACATCCATACCAGTGATTTGGAGAAGATCTCTTGAAAAGTACTTACCGCCCATTTCGGCAACACCCCATCTGTTTTTTTGTCTTATGTGTTGCAACATTACCTATAGCAAACTGCTTCTTTGTTTAGATTTTAGTTCAAAGAAACAATTCTTAGTTTTTAGTGTTAAAATTAGTTTAATTTAGAAATTTATGGTTGTTGTTAACTGCTTTTTTCAATGTTTAGATAAAGCAACATCTTTTTTATGTCAATACAATAATGGTTTCCTAATGTATAAAGAAGAAGAGTACCTGTGCGATATTTAGTGAGCCATGATCTTTATCAGTTATCTTTGTCGGGTTGAGATGGATGGTTTTTATGCAGATTTCTTATCAATAAGCCATTTAGAATTATTCAAAAGTTTAGCTTAATCATTTTATATTATTCTTGTGATTTTTTATGGCTATGTTCGTTTTATGGCTTTATCTATACGTTTCACCATATTTTCTTAAAGGGTACGGAGCTTGATATTGATGTCTTCAAGAAAAAATCATCAGATTATGCTGTTGCCAAGGAACTCGCCATCAAAGGTTAGTGATAGTGCTCCATTTTGCTTATCTTTTACTTTGCACTCCACTTATCGCTTGCATGAACACTAGGTCGTATTCTTCATGGAAATTTGTTGGTCTGTTATTCTGAGTTCTTCAAATGAGAACTTCTACTGTAACTTGTGTTTTGTGAAATTTTATCTTTTTCGAGAAGGTACCATAACATATAAAATGTTTGATCATAAGATGGATCTAAATTCTGTATTTTTTCTGTTGATATTGTGGTTCGTTAATATTACCGAATCACATCAATGGCTTATACTAATTTCAAGATATGTGTGTAGAAAAATGCTTCCTTTTTTTTTTTTTTTTTATCATATTGTAAGTCTCGAATACACGACCTTGTTGTTTATAGTGGATGTTTCTTTTTTATTTTACCCAGTCATCTTCATCTTTGGGGCAGGAAAAATATTATTCATGCTGTGTTATTTCCCAATGAAAAGCTACAATTTTAGAAATGTTTGCTGATATGAGATCTCATTCTTCTGTATGTTGAAGAGGCTAGCAAGGTGACTGATGTCCAAAATATGGAGCACATAGCCGAAAAAAAGAGATTAGTCGGAGACGTGGTGGAGAAAATCACTGCCGATTGGACTTCCCAGAAAGAGGCTCTGTATAAACAAACCGGATTTACTCGTCCGCCCCAAATGGAAGAAGAAAACAACCCGAACAACAAACAACTAACTTTTAATGAAATGCCGGTAGGCAATGTAGACGAACAAATGCAGGACGACCCGGATAATTTTGGTAAGGAATTAGAAGAGGTTTTGATGCTCGATCAATTTGAATTTCCTAATGAAGGCGCGGTGGACTCGTTCGAAGAAAATGAACAATAGTAAAGTTATGTGTAAAATAGATTATTGAGATCAATGAATTTTCTTGACAGCATACGGACTATTAATCAACTGTAATTTTTTGAAAAGTTATGTGTAATTTTCTTGACAACATATGGATCTGTTTGGGGCTTTGGATTTTGATTTGAAATTTAAATAGTAAAAGTTTTGAATTTGAATAGTTGTATGATGTGATATAAATAGGTGCTGATGTGATGTTTTGAATGTAAAATTAATTTTTAGTATAATATAAAAAATAAAAAATAAGTGTTTGATTTGATATTTTTTATTTTTTATTTTTTTTTGCTGAGCAGTGTATTTAAAATTCAATTTCCCAAACAAACATATACTTTTAAAACTATTAATCAAAATGACCAATTTATCTGTAATATAAATATCAATTATTCATCTATTGTTTTAATAGGATGGCACAATATTTCAGTATGATGCTAAAAGCATGTCTCGGCATCATGTCCGGATTAGGAATGTCAAATGGGGTGGGTTAGCCCCGGACCCGCTCTTAATGAAGCGGGTTCGGATCTAAATAATATGTTTTGGGGCGGATTGTGGATTTAAAATTTTAAACCCGGCCGAGTTCGGGGTGGGTTACGGGTTTTACTAAAAATCCGCCCGAACCCGGACCCAAACTCGGATATTTTTTAAAATTATTATAACTAATATATATGTACATTTATATAATAAAAATATATTATTTATTTACTTAAATAATTTTAAATATAAAATTTCCTGCTCCAAATAATTTTTTAAAATTATTATACCTAATATATGTATATTTATATAATAAAAATATATTATTTATTTATTTATCTTATTTTTATGGATCAATATTTGATTGTTTTTAGATTTTTTTTTTTTTTTGTGTGCTTTTAATGCTATTTGGTTTAGTATTCGATTGTTAAAAAAATATTTATTATTATATATTTTTTAAAAAAACGGGTTTGCCGGGTTGGCCCTGAACCCGGAGGGTTCGGGGGGCGGGGCGGGTCCTAGGGCCGGGGGGCGGGTCACGGAGCCTAATATTTTCTAGCGGGGCGGGTCTCGGGGCCTGCAGGATCCATCCCGAATCCGCCCCGTTGACATCCCTAGTCCGGATTGTACTATTTACATACGGTGGCATTTAGGGTATTGATTGAGTCTAATTTGCATCGTTTTGATTTAATCAAGTTAGCACATTAATATAAAGAATATTGATCAGGTTTAATTAACATTGTCTTAATTTGATCAAGTTAACCAAAGAATATGAAGGATATTGATTGGGTCTAATTAGCACCGTTTTGATTTTATCATATTAGCATATTAATATGAAATTAACTAGAATTACATTACAAGATAGATACTACTAGGACTAAGTTAGTATACTAATTTAAATTAATTAACATTTCATCACAGATAATATATTTTTTGTTATATAAAAATATGTGTTTGATGAGTTATACATTATTCTGAAATTAACATATATTGTGTTTCATAAAATTATATAATGTGTTATACTATATATTATATTAATATTGTGTAGATTATATATTGTGTTGTGATGTATAATTTGTTTATTGTGCTGAAATCAGAATATATTATATTATATTATATTATACATTATTATAGAATATGCTATCAAAATATGTGTTATATTATATTAACATGTGTTATTTTTTTTATAAACACATTTTGATTGAGTTAAATAACATATGCTATATATAATTATATAATATGCTATCAAAATATGTGTTATATAATATTAATATGTGTTATTTTCTTTATAAACACATGTTGGCTGAGTTAAATAACATATGCTGCGTATAATTATATAATATGCTATTAAAATATGTGTTACCTTATATAAATATGTGTTATTTTCTTTATAAACACATGTTCATTGAGTTAAATAAACACTAGGGCCGTCTCGGACTTTTTGAGGCCTTGAGCAAAAACAATATGTAGGTCATATAAACATATAATTAAATGAATTTTTAAAATAATATCATCGATAAATATAATAATTAATTCCATAAAAGTAAATAATTTTAATTATATATTAATAAAAGCTCATATGCACAAAGTGTATCATCAGTAAAAAATAATAATAATTTATATAATATAATATAACTAAGTTAAAAAGAAAGCAGGAACAAACCAAATTTAAACAGCTTCTTAAAAAATTATATAGCAGACTTGTACATGTTCATCAAAAAAGGATTCTGACTGCACAAAAAAAAAAATAAATAAATAAAATTGAATTTAGAACATAACATAATAAAAATAAATTATAATATATAAAATTTAAAGTACTTACAAGATTTTCATTTGAAACAAATCCGTCAATCAAATCTTCGTAATTTACTTTGTCCAAAATTTCATTTTCAATTGCCGCTAAAAGTAGACCATTTAGTCTTTCTTGGGACATAGAACTAAGTCTTTAAGCAACTTCAATTTTGAAAAACTTTTTACAGCTGTTGCAAAAGTTATTAGGATGGTTAACAATATCCTATAGACAACAATTGTATTGGGAAAACAATCTAACATATTTCAAAAAGTTTATAATATCTGGAGCATCAAATTTTTTCTTAGGAAGAAGGACAGAGAGGGGGATTGTCTGTTGTCTATATCGCTAAACCGAAGGAGAAAAAAAGAAGAAGATGGAGGAGGATAGTCGGTCATTCTGTCTATGTCGCGGAACCAAGGGAGAAAAAAAGAAGAAGGGGGATTGTGAACGCTAGCTGGTTGGAGGGGAAAAGTGAGAAGAGAAAGTGTGACTGTAAACGCGACGATTGAATTTGGGAGTAGGGTTTTAAAAATAATTTTAGAATTAAAATTAAATTATATAATTATGGAGAAGAAAAATTATAATTTAAAATTTAAAATTTAATTTGAAATTTAATATATCTAATAATAATAAATTAATATTTTAAAATATAGGCAATTTCTTAAAATTGGGCCCCGCTAATTGCCGCCCTGATCAACACATGTTACCTATAATTATATAATGTGCTATCAAAGTATATATTATAATTACCTAGTGTGACTTGCCGGTAGAACCTAGTGAACCTAGTTTGCAAGGTATTCCGCTCAGTCGGAGGTTTATTCGGTGCGTACTTTCAGGTAGCGGGTGCGGATTCCTGCGTTATAAAAAAAAAGGTATATGTTAAATATATTATATTAATATATGTTATTTAGCTTATAAATATATGCTAATTTGGTTTAATCAACGTCATATTGATTAGACTCAATAAAAATGATATATACATTCTAAATAAATAAATATATTCATATACTTTGACAACTTCATAATATATATATTTATAATCCATTTATATTGATTATGTAAATATACATATTTATTTGTGGTTGTTGAGATATTTTAGATATTTAGTTTTATATTTAGGGTGTGTTTGTTCGAGGGATTGGATTAGATTTTCACTGTTCATCCCATTTCCCCTCCCAAAATATCAAATCAAACACCTATTTTTTATTTTTTATATTATACTAAAAATCAATTTTACATTCAAAATATTACATCAACACTTATTTATATCACATCGTATAACTATTCAAATTCAAAATTTTTACTATTCAAATCCCAACTCAAAATCCAAACCCCCAAACAAACACACAGTAGATTTAAATTTTAAATGTGGTCTTGAGTTTTATTTTATTTTTTTTATGATGTGGAAATCCGCAAACGCTACTCGAAAGTGCGCGCTGGGTAAACCCCCGGTCGAACCTTATTGAGTTTATTTTATGTTACCTATATATAAAATTCTTATTTTGATGATTAAAACAATTTAATTTTCCAAAATTTCACAAAAGATTTATAATATGATTTCAGAGCCTATTTTTTTTTTTTTCTAAATTAGATATAATATACTAATTTCGGGTACATTCAAATTGGAATGTATCCGGAGGTCTCCAATAGATTTTTATTTATGATTCAACGGAGAATTTTCAATTTTTAGAAACGTTTGCAATTGATCGTCCATCAAGTTTCTTTTTCAATTTTGCATCCGAATTCAGCGTTTGATTGTTTGTATAGTTCAATATAAAGCGTTGTTTCCGATTACGTTGAGTCCTGTCGTTTTTCGGCACCGGTGAGAGTTCTGTGTTTTTTACTCCGGTGAGAATCTTTTTGTTTTCCGACTTCGGTGAGAGTTCCGTGCTTCTGACTCCGATGAGAGTCCCATTATTTTCGACTCCAGCAAGAGTCTCGTCGTCTTTCAGTTCCAGTGAGAGTTCCGTGTTTCGACTATGTTGAAAGTCTATTTCCAACTCTAATTCAGTTGAAAATATTATTTTTTATTCTGACATGGACGATTGTTGCTACTTGATTTTCAATCTCTATTTGCAAACTCAATTTGTTTCTATTACACCATTTGACTTTGAGGGATGCTATTTTATATATTTAGTTTTAAATTTAGTAGATTTAGATTTGATTTTAGAGTATATAAACTTCTTATTCTAATTCAAAACAACTACAATTTTCTAGATTTTTACAAAATAATGCTACAAAATTCATATTTATTTTAATATAGTTGATTAATATATAATTTTTTAATAGTTTAATATATATTTTAAATTGATTTTTGTTAAATTATATCATATCGCACAACAAACATTGTACGTAATAACTTGTTTTGTTCGATGAGCTAACAATAACAACAATAATATAACAACAATAATAATACTAGTCTATCATCTAGCTCAAACTTAAAAATACTAATTTTATATTGATTTGATCGGATCAATACATATCGTACATATAAACAACATATATTATACGCATCTTAGTATATTTATAATATATAAAACATATCTTATGATATAATATAATATAATATCTTATAATACAATATATATTATACTATCTAAAAATATATATTGTTTACCTTTATAACATATGGGAAGATTTGTGCCTTATCTTATTAACAAGCTAAGGGTGTATTATTTCAAAAAAAAAAAATAAATAAATAAACATGTTTCTCCAAAATAATTAATATATTACACATATTAATTATTTCTATATTACCTACATAGTTCCCTATATATTACATAAAAAAATATATTTTCAGGTTTAAACCTCCGACGCCTCAAGTCACCTGCCACGCATGGTTCGTCTAATATGACTTGCCTGTCGGACCTAGTTTGTAGAGTATTAAGTTTGACCAGA